ATATAGGAGTGGTCAAATCTACAAATTTTGGACATGGTTAATAAAATTATGAGGATTTTTATGACTCAATCTGGGGATTTTTGGTAAAAATCTAGGGATTTTTGTCAAAATTTGAAATCTAGGGATTTTTGGGGAAATTTTTTTGGCCAAGTTAGGGAATTTCTAATTAATGCCTCTGGAGACACTGCGGACGAAGTTTGATTAATGCTTGTGATAAGGACTAAGACTTTTTTGTGATGCCGGGCTACGACTTAAAGGTTAATGGTGAGTACGCCCGGATCGAGTCCCTCGAGTGCTCCTCATGCAGACTGATACTGAGAGACGCTATACAAAATGAAGAGGGACAGAGGTTCTGTAAGAGCTGCTGGGAAGAAGCAATGTATGATACATAATGCCTGTCAAGTGTTATCATGGGTTTTATCTCTCATATAGTTCCTCTAGTTCAAAAGCTCAAAGATTGGGGATTAATCCAAAGGAAGAAGTAAGTCTGCATCTCTTTTTTTTGTCCATCATGAGTTATACTTCATAAGTAAAGTTGTGTATTGTCTACCCATTATTCACATATATAATATTATACTAATTATATATTGTTTGCAGATATACCCTGATATTGCTGTTAGAAGAGAGATAGATAGGCTCCCAGTTTTATGTGAGAACTATGAGAATGGTTGTGAATGGACTGGAAAGCTTAAGGACCATGAGGTAGGCAGCGGGCCATGTTGAGATGTTAACCAAAGGGTGGGCTTCATGAGTTAGTGATGAGTGATATATCGATTCTTTATTGATATAAACGATATTTTACGGAATTGATTTGAATCATTATCGAAATTTTTAGTGATGGGTGATATATCGATTCTTTATTGATATAAACAATATTTTACGGAATCGATTTGAATCATTATCGAAAATTTTATGCAATTTTTATCGATCTATTGACCACGCCCATTTATTTAGGTTAAATAACTAATTTTAATAAGTGATTGCACTGTTGGACTGCAGGAAAGAAGCAACTGACCAGTTGTTAGCTCAGCCTACTTCAATAGGAAGAGAACCAAGCTTAGGAGCATGGAAATGATTAGGAAATGATCTTCTCTGATGTCCAGTACAGTTATATCTGTGCTAAAAATCATTAGCCACACCCTTGACACACCCCAAAAATAAGGTGTGGTTATCGTATCGTTAATAATCGATATTTCCTGAAAAAGTCCATTATCGATCGTTATCGAAAATTAAGAAAATTGGCCATATCGCCCATCACTAGAAATTTTATGCAATTTTCATTGATCTATTGACCAAGCCCATTTATTAAGGTTAAATAACTAATTTTAATTAGTAATTGCCCTGTTGAACTGTAAGAAAGAGGCAGCTGACCAGTTGTTAGCTCAGCCTACCCCAATAAGAAGAGAAACAAGACTGAAGAGCATGGAAATGATCTTCTCTCATGCCAGTACAGTGCCAAAATCATTAGCCACACCCTTGACACACCCCTAAATGAAGGTGTGGTTATCGTATCATTAATAATTGATATTTCCTCAAAAAGTCCATTATCGATCGTTATCGAAAATTAAGAAAATTGGCCATATCGCCCATCACTATCATGAGTACAGCTTACAAAATTGTGGTTAGCAGTTAGGACAGCTGCAATAATAGTTTTTTGTTCCCTTCCAGCATGATCACAAAGCTATCTGTGAGTATAAAACCATGAGGTGTGCTCTTGGCTGCAGTAAGAGAATTCCTCTTGGAAAATTGAGAAAACATGAAAAAGAAGAGTGTCCGTTTCGACAAGTCCGATGTCAATATTGCAGAAGTGAATTGTTAGCTAGAGACTATAATGTAAGAAGATAAGATGAATTTATTAATTTTATAATTTACATGTTAAGGATCACCTTTTGAACTGTCCTAATGCACCTTATATTTGTGGTCATTGTCACACTGAAATGCCAAGAAGTGAAGTGAGCTTGTGCTTTATGTAACTGTGATCTCATTTATCATCATATTATTAGATGGATAGTCACATGTTACTTAATAACTGCAGAAGACAATTATATTGCTCTGGATGGCATCCACAGGTAAACTTATATATTTTTAACGACCTGGGGGCGTAGCCCCCAGGTCGTTCCTATAATTGATTTCACCTTTGCGCTATGTATGTATATATATATATATATATATATATATATATATATATTATATATATATATATTTATTTATTTATTTGTATGTCCACACTTACATTTCTTCTATACACGTTGTATTGGAGAAATAACAAGCCTTAGCAACCATCCGCCCACGCTCCTTTACGGGGTGGGTGTGGCCACGGCAAACAAAATGGCGGCTTACACATGGGACAAAGTTAAGAGCTTTCTAACAGCAAGAGAACATAGAGATACTGTCTAAAGACTTCTCTAGAAGCATTATAAGGTAGAGAGAACCTTTATAAGTCTTAATAATGACAAAATTATACTTGCAAGGTGGTGAAATCAATTATAGGAATATTTTTTACACTGTTACGCTTGTTATAATTAAATTCAGTGTGGGGAATTTCCCTGGGAAAACACCCAAACAACTATCAGTCTACAGAAGGAGTGAATAGATCCTTTATGGCTTCACTTCCTGATTATTATGTCCACACTGATAAACATTGCCAATGGCTTATGAATATAATTAAAATCATTCAAAATTTGAACCACGTGTAGCTGATAAGCTGATAATTAGGCAATTTCTGAAAAACGTAGCAACTTGAGGGGAAATTTACCTGAATAAAATAAGACCCAGCAACTGAGGAGATTCACAGTGTATTAAGCAAAGGTAAGTACAGTACTAGATCCTTTCGCAAAAGCCCAGCACTCCTGTGAATGATTTGCACAAAAATCAAAGTTGCTTTGTAGTTAAAAAGTTAAAATGCTGGCTGTGCAAGTAGAAGTGTATCTCCTAAAAAGAAGCACAGATGAAGCTCACTCTTGGTAGTAGCAAAGAGGAGAGTTGGTTCTATCTGTTTATGGCAAAATTAAAAGAACAGCTCTTGTGAATCAAGGATTTTAGGTCGCCTAATGGACCTTGTGCATCGAACGTTCTAATTAACGCGCACCTCTCAACTGGAGTAAGATGGCGGATCTTTTGGTAAACAGGCAGGCTGAACATTTTCCTCTTTTATCAAGTCATCCTTACTTTAGGAGCCACTTTGAGCTCTCTTTTTGTTTCATCACACTCTTTTTATTTCTCCTGTAAGCTCCTTGGTTGTTGTTTTGGCTTTAAGCAGTTTTTCATAGGCCTATTCTGGCACCCTTTGGCAATTCCCGTTTTGGTAAATTTTGCTTCCAGGAGCCAGGGCGCTTGCCCCTCCATTGCTATGAAGACAGAAGTGTATTCACTTGAGTCCTATGATTAATGTCTATCATCAGTTAGTCTCAGTCCATCAGGACAAGGTACGGTGGAATTACTCACTCAGTTGTCATGTTGCAGCTGGAGTGTTGATGATATGGCCATCTTTTCTCATCTTAAAACTATAGGATGGCTCTTTTATGAATAGTTGAGGGGTGCAAGAACTCTCTGGCTCTCATTCTTTATCTGTAAATTCACTGGTTGTACTGTAGGAGCATTTCATGTCATATTAAAGTCTGCGTCGCTATCCAATACTTGCAGAGAGGAATCATCACATTTAGGACTTGTTTGTGGCTCGTCACCATTTGTATCCTCTCTTGACAGTTTTATTTGATATTCATAATTATGAAAAACATAACTGACATTGTTGCTACAGTTATTTATGTTTTTATCACTACATTACATTTGTATGCATGACGTTTCATGTATTTACAGATATTTTATTATAAAGAGTATATACGTAATACATAAACAATAATTTAAAACTGTTTGGCCGTTAACAAAGACAACTGTTGTGATTAACATTTATATTAACATTAAAAATCATGTAATGATGGAACTGTTTTACTTCATACCAGATGTCACTATTAACAACTAGTTACTTGAAGCACAGCTATTACAGCACACTTATGATCCTTGAAGTGATTCTTAGATGTGAATGAAGACCAATCCTATAGTTTTAAGAAGTAAAAAGATGGCCATATCATCAAAACTCCAGCTGCAACATGACAACTGAGTGAGTAATTCCACCGTACCTTGTCCTGATGGACTGAGACTAACTCTGATGATAGACATTAATCATAGGACTCAAGTGAATACACTTCTGTCTTCATAGCAATGGAGGGGCAAGCGCCCTGGCTCCTGGAAGCAAAATTTACCAAAACGGGAATTGCCAAAGGGTGAGAATAGGCCTATGAAAAACTGCTTAAAAAGCCAAAACAACAACCAAAGAGCTTACAGGAGAAATAAAAGAGTGTGATGAAACAAAAAGAGAGCTCAAAGTGGCTCCTAAAGTAAGGATGACTTGATAAAAGAGGAAAATGTTCAGCCTGCCTGTTCACTAAAAGATCCGCCATCTTACTCCAGTTGAGAGGTGCGCGTTAATTAGAACGTTCGATGCACAAGGTCCATTATGACCAAGTTTACGGCACTTTTTCTAAAGCTATATCTGCTCCATTAAGATTTAAACTAGCAGGACATGCAGGATACACCTTCCTAAGTCTATGAAAATACTGTAGAGGTTCCAGGTATTCTGTGAATGATTTACACAAAAATCAAAGTCAAAAATTTTTTATCAAACAAATAATTTTTACTGTGACATATCTTTGCTTAAACTTTGCACATGAAAACCAAACTTGTTTCTTTATAACAAGTAACTTTTCCTCTCTTAATGGTGCTAGATGTAGCACTGTTTAAGTATCTATGTAAGAGAAATAAGTAAAATAGTATGGGTATCCATTATGCATGAGGAAAACCATGCGATTTTCTGCACTTCCGGTGTTCAGAGAAGTGTAGCGCCTTTGTGTAGACTGTATGTGTATTTCATTGTATAAGAGTGAGTGGGCGTATCAAAGGCACCGCCTGTGGTTACAAATGTGATGTAACACAGCTTTCATTTGTAACACTCCCTGTGGTTTTATTTGTATCCCTGTGGGTTGACAGCAAAATCTCTTAAAATAAAATATAAGAAACAACATTATTGTACAGGTATTATAAGCTGAAAGTCAACTGTCAATAAAGCTTGCAATAAAGTCTGGCCTAGGTCCAGTGGCCTGCGGGAACGGACAGAGGGTACAAATTCGGAACAATTATGAGTCTCCGGAGTGTAGAAAACTTTAGATCGATTCATAG